TAGAATTATTCATATATTTCCAGCCAGTAAAATTGCCTTCATTTTGTATAGTTGAAAAGGAAATATCTGCATGGTAATTAGTCTTAACTGAGTGTTGTGTAATGAAAGAGAGAGACTTTACTAAATATTGTAAGTAATATGTTATGAATCATGACCACAGTTTTGTTTGGCGTTGGTTTACAGTGGCACATGCAAGATTTAAGGATTCCTCTTTTCTATTGAACTCTATCTTTTACATTATTGTGATTTTTGTACCATGCAAGGCTGAGACTCGCGATAAGAAGGTGCTTCTTGTTTGAGTAGTACGTTAATGTGAAAGTAGTAACATTAGAACTCTTTTTGCCTTTCTGTACTAATGGTTATTCTGTTATTTTTAGGTTATTGCGTCTTGGAACCTTAACTTTTTTGTATGAAAATAGGGAATTTAAAACCTTTTGCTACAGGGTTACCACCCAGACTTTGAGTCAGGAGTTTAGTATGCTACTGTGATGCATGACCCATTGAACTGTGCGTATGCCATTATGCACAGCAAAGAGAGGTTAATTCAGAGAACTTAACATGCTTTTATTTAATTTCCCTTCAATATAATAGCTTCTGTTTTTCCTTGCATTCAGTCACAGTATATGTTGGTAGGAATTGTAATGTAACAGATATTCCTTGTTTTTAGTTAAGTACACATGAATGATCCAAACTGTTATAGCTCTAATACAGTGATACGGAGTTTATTTGAAGTGTTTCATAAACGCATCAGTCCGTGTTGAAGGATGTACCATTATCTGTCATAAACCTATGTATTTGTTGTCTGCTACCAACTGTAGAATAATTTGTAACTGAAAATTTGTATTTGTCTTCATAAAAATATATTTCACTTGAATATCTTGTCTTCTGTAAATTATGGACTTAAACTGCATGCTTCTATAATGCATAAATAAAATATGGTGTATTTACAAATTTCAGCATGTTCCTGATGTTTATTGCGTGGTTATATATGAAGGAGTTAAAGTGAAATTGAATGGAGATGAAAGTACATTGATGTCTGTCAGACTTCATCTAATACAGTTTATGAATTATGCCACACTTATCTTCATTATTTATTTATATAATTACATAATTAAAAGTCTCATCTAATTTATTGAAGACATTTCAATCAGTAATAGAACTAGTTCATAATGGCATTTTTTAATACGAGAACGTAAGAAAACATTTTGACTTTATACAGGCTTTGTGATAACATAATTGTCTACTACCTTATTCTAGAAGTTTTGTATTATAAGATTATCATTAGGTCCTGATGGATTTAAGTGGGAAGTTGAAGTTTTTACTCCGACCAGCCTTTTGAGGTTCTGGGTTCAATTTCTGATTTGTGTGTGAATCTTGTATGATTTTGAATGTGTGAATCTGTGATTGAATGAGTTGTACTGATTGTAGCCTGTACATGTTAGTCTTTGTCACTATTGAAACCCGTCATTTTCCAATTGTGATTCTATCTTAATACTACCACTTCATGTACTGATGTCTACTATAATCTCTGTGCTCTAGTCAGGAAAGTTCTTTTTGTCTGTCAACTTGCATGTACCATAACCTTGAAATTTTTTCTAAGGACTTTTAATTAGCTGATTCAGTTTCATCACATAATTTTATGTACAATACATATTTTTAATCTAAAAAGTACAGTGGTCACCATTCCGTAACTTCTGTATTGTTGAAGAAATGGTCAACAGCGTTTGGCAGATGTGAGAAATAATTCCAAGTTTCTATTTGTGTTTTCATTGCCAGGACTCATTTAATTATTTTCCTGTGGTAGTTTATATTTAATATATTAAATTACAGATAAAGATAGGAAGAACATAATTAATAATGTAAGGAAATTACAGTCAGAAAATAAATTAGATGAAATAAATAAATAAATAAATAAATATATATATATATTACACTGTAACAGTTAAATTCTTGTGCAATGGGAGTTAAATTTTACAGTCTAATGTTGACTTCATGCAATAAAACTCCTCTCTTAAGTAGTATATGTTTTATTTCAAACACACAGTATCAATATAATTGATTGTTTTGTGATACTTATGTCCACACTTTTATATACGTTTATGTAGGTATATTTCTAAAACTCTGGATCTACTTTTACAGAAAGGTGATTAATTTAAAATGATAAATATGCAAAAGAAAAAATGTAAAAAGGTTTTGCACCAAAAAATAAATTCAGGGGGAAATAATATGATGTTGGCATATTTTATGATTAAAATGTTCTGCTAGATGACAGTGTATTAATGTGCTGAACTCTCTATTTAAATTCCAATAATGAAAGTTTGAAATTTTCATGTCAGACATGCAGCAGTGCATTTCAAAATAAAATGTTTGTTATCAAAAAAAAAGTATGGCAGTTCTACTGAGATTGATATGCACTTGTTTCAATAGATGAAGCACGAATAAAACAAGAAATAGCCACCCACCATTTTTGTAGGAAGTTATATTCTCAGCAGATATCTCTGCATATTGTATGCAATATATGTAGTACTAACTTTCCTAAATCCAAAGCAATTTGAAAGATGAAGATAGTGAACTGTTCGTCTCAAAATATTTTGGAGTCCAATTATAGTGGAACTGACACATTCATTTTCTATACGAGTTTGTAATACTTACAAGAGAATGGGAACTGTTTTTAGAATGTTAACATTTCTGATGGAAGATTTTGTTAAAAAATATTTATACATGTTTAAATATTTTGAAAGAGTAACTGTAGAGAAAAAGTAATGAATTTCAGTACTGATATTTGCCACTGCCAGACAAAATCTGTTCTTGGCAAAATAAAATTTTCATATTGGTTATATGCCATGCTTATTTGTGCAAACAGTATTTTATATGTAAATAACTGTACATTTGTACATAATGTAAAAACATGAATGAATATGTGTAGTAGTTATTTGTGATACAGGTATTTAAAATTATTGGTAGTGATTCATCATATCGTGAGTTTCACATTGTTGAGTTTTTAAATTAGTCTACATTTGGTTTTTATGAACCAGATGTTTAGACTTAATAGAGTTCTTCCATAAAATATTGAGTTAGGATTAAAAAATATAACATCCGCGGTAAAAGGGCTTTTTTATGTAAGTATGAAGAAATATGGAAACTATTTATGTTGACATTAAATATGCTCTTTGTTACACCAAGACAGGTAATGCATAATTAATTGAAGATATAAATAATCTTATTTTATTTCTGTAATCAAGAAAATAAATATATATTGTTTGAAGTTCTAATGAAGTTAGTAATTGCAAAGAATGTTTAATTATAAATGCAGAATAATAATTATTTTAAGATATAAATGGAATATGAAATGGAAATTTAGATTATAATGTAACATGATGTAAACAATTGGGTCACCTTTTAAATGCAGACCAGAAAAAGGAACTTCCACTATGTTTTAGTTTCATACTTAATTGTAATCACAGAGCAAACATTAATCTTTTATTAACAATTGTGAATTTAAATGTCTTGTTAAAGAAACAGCAACACTGCAGTACTGTACTGAATATCTTAATGGTGGTCACACGTAGTTCACTCTGAACTTGCAGTCAGTGGCATAGACACAGGGGGAGAGATAGCAAAATGTAATTTCACAAGTACCAGACTTGAGTGGTATTTGAGATTTTCATGGCAGAGAGTGTGAAGATGGCTGTCTTCTGGGTTGTAGCACCATGAAGTCAGAGGCAGTCGTCACCCTAATGGTGGAGGCAGCAAGGACCTCTGAAACGTTGGTAAACTTGTACCAGACTATGTGGCACTACAGCCCAGAAGACAGGCATCTTCCAGACTTGAGTTTTCAAAACCTAATGGTACTGTATTAAAAATTTAAAATAAACTTTTTGTCAAATTCTATCACTTATGTTAGCTTCAACTGCTGCTATTGATGCCAAATTAATATTTTCATTTTAAAATTATGTTGAATTTAGATTTACATTATGGTCCTACTTTGTTTTCTTCAAGACAGCACAATAAAATTAATGGATTATAATTTCTCTTCCTTATATATCATTAAAAGCTTTACATTTTTAATAGACTGTATTGTTTGTGAATACTTCAGTAGCATTCTGCTGGCCAGTTCTATCATTCATCCAAAGTTATTTATATTTGAGGTTGGGGAATTGCTTTGAGGATGACAGTAATACTGGGACAACATGAAAATTTGTGTATCAGCCACTGAGTAAATTTACATCCTTTCTGACACTTCTTCCAGGTCTTTATGTTGACATACACATTTTAATAAATGATTTATAAATGCACAGGTAATTTACATTTCTTATGATGACGGTCAGTAAATAGTGAAGTTTAATAACATTTATAATAACCATTTATTCTTTGGGATATTTATTGGCACTGAAAAATTAATGAAAATAGGAAATGTTTTTAAATTTGGAAAATGTGATTTGTATATTACATGTTGGGTAAGGGAATGTGTAAAGACGGTTGATAATTTCAGACCCACTTCCATCTTCATTAAGATTCATTTCACTTTCTCAGACTTCAAAAGCAAATTTACGGCTGTAGAAACATATCTTTCACATGCAGTAATGCCATAAATTTACATATGTTTGCATGTAAAACATTGCATTTGTGAAATCATTCATTTTGACTTTCAACTTACCTCATCCCGAATACGTTATACATAAACAGAAATGTACCTCAGACCAAACCTGTTTGTGTTCATATATAGTGTAATTTGATTATTTTCTTCATTGCATTTTAAATCCATTTTTTGAATATGTCTCAATCTGCATTCTGTATTTTAAAATACAAGTGCATTTTAAGGTACTTAAATAAATTACATTTTTTTAGTTTTAGTCCTGGAAACGTCAGTTAATAGCATTGTTTTTTATAAAGTACATATAATGTAAATAATGGAGTAGGCCTGCAAATAGCTCCAATATTCACTGATAATTTCTTTCTTCCAAAAATAGTTATTTTGCTTTGAATCATGCTTGTGCCAATTTGTAGTACTTGCAGGGTTTTGAGTGTTTGTTTTTCTAATAACACTGTTTTTATATAATAATAGATAACAGTATTCAGCTTTGTGTTGTCTCCTCTCCCGTTTGTGATACTGAGTGCAATCTCAAGTGTGTTATGTTTAGTATATCATGACTTGTTATGCAGTAATCAAGAAGGAATACAAAGCAGGAATTATTGCTTTCTACTACTTACATGTTTATGTCAAGTATAATATAAGTAATAACAGTAATAATGTTGAGAGATGTACAGTTTTGATTCAAACGTGGCGGTCATGTCCGCAGTTTTTAATGCCAAACCTGTCAAAGTTACTTTATGTTATGGAAGCTTCATTACTGTAAATTATGAGAACTAAACAAAAATAAATCTACATATCAAAGATATTTTTATTTAATTTGTAAGCATTTTTTACGTTTTAGCATACGTATACGTAAAATAACTTATGGGCAAACATGGTTGCCTGTGAATCCAAACTACAAGGCTTTAAACCTCTAGAAAACCACCTTGTTACTAGTGACAATGTATGTCTATTAAAATGGGATGAGTAAAGGTACAGGATTTTATGGTAGATGAATATTAGCATTCTGCCACTCATGCTTTATTTATTCATCATCAAATGTCTGGGAGACCAAAAGATTACTACAAATAAGACTAACAATGAAACAGTCAGTATTATAATTTTTCTTTGGAACTCCTCTAGCCCAGTGGTACTCATTATTCTTTATGAGGATGCAGGCTTCATGAACTAGCTGCCTTACAAGAGGTCTCATGTATATGACAAATAAAGCAAACCCACATATATATTGCATTTGCCTCAGTACACTAAAGACTTTGTCAAGACATGTTAAGGAAAGTATGATATTGTAATAACTATCAGAAATTGTGCATGAGTGACATGCATAAGTTCAATTTTAAACACATTTTAATTACACATTGCAGAATGTCTATGAAATCTAAAATTAGACAATAAAAGTTTTAATTTTAAAGAAAACCTGTTTCATAATTAAAAGCAAATGTAAAGCTAAGATAGCATGTCAATCGATTTTCTCAGTTCTCTTCTGTTGATTTTACCAGTAGTAGTCTTTGGAATAAAATTAACAAACCACACACCTCCACTTAGTCTTTTATATGGTGAAACCTGACCTGAAATTGAAACACAGTTGAATTCTATAAATGTGACAGAAAGTCTGTAAGATCATGGTGCTGCTATACTGAGAGTAGTAAACTTGACATTACAGTGAACATTCATGTCCTCCTCCATATACTTACAAGCAACATAGTCCTTTATTTCATCTTCTGTTATTTGTGTATCAGGTTCTCTGACAATGACAGCTCCTGGTAGTTCTCCATATGTTTCATCCTCAATACCAATGACAGCTGCATCCTGAATAGCTGAATGCATCACAAGAATGGATTCAATTTCACTCGGTGATACCTGCAATAGAACATCTTTCCAATCATCACAGCAGACACTGAACTTTCATTTTATTTGCAAATTTTCAAATGTGAATAGTTTCTACCTCATATGTTGTTTTTCTGTAGGTATGTTGGACACTTCAGGAGAAATGATTTCTCTGAATTTTTCTTTCTTGTGTATATTCATTCAGTAGACTCCAGTTTTTAAATATCTCCACTGATTGAAGATACCAGTTAAAAAATCGAGTCTGACTACTGAACCACATGCCTCCAGTGAGTGCACAGCTGATTTGTTACAAGGACACAATCTCCTTAATATTTTAGCAGCTGTTAGAGTCTGTTTTGATACTCCAGTCTATTGTGAAAGGTATTTAAGGTACTTCAAACTGTGCTCTGATTTCATCCAAATTTTCTTCTGCTGATACTGTATGTTGGTGTTTTATTTACCTGTCTAGTAACATGCCATTTGTTCTTACTTTATTAACCAGATTATGAATAGCGTTTGCGTTGGAAACCTGAACTATAACAAACATTTTCTTGAATTTTCCTAGCATAGCTACAGTTCACTTAAGACTCATATAAAAATGCCTGATGCTCTAGTATTAACTTAAAAAATGCCTCACATAAAGAGAACCCTAATCACTCTTTTCCAGGAACACATCTACAACATACATCAGGGTATAGATGTATTGCTTTTATGCTTCTTGTAATGGATGAAATCTACTTCTAGATACCTGATACCCTTGATATTTTATCAGCTCCTTCAGTCGATCCACAACATAGAAATATCCATCTTCATTACAATATCCTAAATCACCAGAATGGAACCATCCATCTTTGTCAATTGCTTTTTGGGTTTCTTCAGTATTCATCACGTATTCCTTCATGATGAGTGGGCCCCGGAAACAGAGCTCACCCGTGTGGTTGGGGCCAATCATTTTACCAGTTTCCACATCAACAACCTGTTGGTACATGAGAAATCAGTTACTCCGTCTAGTTGTTTAACCCTTTACATCCCATGTCCAAGTTAACTCAGAATTTAAATGTCGCGTCGTGTCCCTCTCCCGAGTCCGTTCTGGCGACGTACTTTGATAGTTTACTACTAGATGGCAAATCCGACAATCTTTCTATATACAGTAGAAAATTCTATCGATCGCTACACTTGATGTATCGATGCTTTTGTGTGATCGTGTTTTATCTTGACATCTGTCTGCTGTCTGTCAAAATGGCTTTCTCAAGTAGTAAACATAGCATGACTGAAAATGAGATTTTAGATGTTTTAGGTAATGATAGTGGGTCTGATTGTAACGAAATCAGGGATGATAACTTTGGTATCGACGATATTGACGAAAGTGACGAAACATAAAGAGAGGAAGAGGAAGAAGACAACGATGAAGCTGCTCCCCCTTTAAAAAAAAAGTAGGTTACTGCCACTTAATGTAATTCCACGTAAAATATGGATGAATTACACGAATTTTGTGCCTCATAAGCATGATTTTGACCGATCCCAGTCAGGGATTAGGAACCTGGATAGAGACATGCGCAAGGTGGTTTAATATTAATGTATAGTTGACAGTGATATGTTAGTTGCCTTAACCTAGTTCTGAAGTCTTGGACAAACAGGCAAATAGAGTGCTTCGTAAGTCTTTTGACTGTTGCATGATCTTAATGCAATAAAATGGTGTATCAACATAGTGCCATTTCTATTCTTGTTTAACAAACTGAAGCACTGTACAAACATTGCCAGAGCAGCAGACCGGTTTTTTGAACACACACAGTAATAATGTTTTATCTGTTCATAAAATAGTTTTTTTATGTATAACATGATTTGTATGTTTGACAAATGTGGTGCTGAGTCAGTATTATAGTTGAGTCCACAAGGTATTACAACCCAGAAGACCAATATCAATTTCACTATTGTGAGAACATCAAATCTCATACACTAGTGTTCTTTAGATGTAGTTTTGTCTTAGAAGGAAACCATTATTGTGGTCATCGTGCAGGTTCTTAGGTTTTTCTCCATATCTTATTGGACATGCTTGAGGATCATAAAAGTAGGCTACCGCCTGTTCCACATAAATGCTCCATCTGGCATTATCGTATTATATTCAGGTCAGTATAAGCAAAGTAAAAAATAATTGAGTTTTTTTAACCTCAGTAGTAATCCTTATAATTTTCTCCCTTTGTTCCTGAAAAATATAACATACCTTGCATTCCATTCCAGGTGTGACTTTTCCCGGTGTTCCCAGCCTGAAATTATCAACTGTGCAGGTGAACATTGTGAATGTTGTTTCTGTTAACCCATACGAATGATGCAGCAGTGCACGTCCAGCCAGTTTCTGTAGCACCAACTGCTGAAGTTTGGGACTTAAAGGTGCAGCCCCCGTCCAGATGTGTCGTACAGAGCTGAATTCAGGTTTATCTAACACATCCCGCTTCACGAGAAACACTAACAAAGAAGCCACTAAATACAAACAAGTTACCTGCAATCATAATAACAAAGCTGTCACTGTATGAGATTTGTGGAAACAGGTAACGGTTACATTCTTTTATAGTTCAACTAAAATTGTAGTGGTTATGTTTGTAATTTTTGTTGTTGATGTGTGAATGATGAGTACAAAAATGTAACTTCAGTAACCTGAAACATAGGAATCTGGAAAAATGTTTTAAACATACCTTATGTTCTTCGATGGATCGAATGAAGAGGTCTGGCTTAAACTTACGTACCACCACAACACGAGTTCCTTCACACATGCACATAAGCACCAGAAGTAGACCGTATGCATGACAGAACGGTGGCACTCCTAGTGCGATCTCAATACAGCTGGTATAGTCCGTGCTAAAATGTACAAAAATTTATTTAATTGTTATAATTTTTTATATATCCGAAACAGAATCATGTGACACTTTTCATTTGTATCCGAACTTTTTCATGTTTAGGAGGTATCCAGTTCAAATCATGACAGGGATACACGTTAGAGGTTTTCTGCGGTTTCCCCCAGTGCCTTCAGCCAAATGGCAGAACGGTACTTTAACGGGCCACAATCACTTCTATCCTAATCCTTTATAACTAATTGTATCACTTCTCATTAACATCACTAATAAATAACCCACGAAGTTGAATGATAAAACAAAGAACCAAGCACAAGGTAAAGTTTTAAGCATTCTGCTTTGGCTGCTCATTTACCAACTAATTTTCCTGACAAGAGCACGTACCTTGTGGTTAAAGCTGTTGTAATATTAAAATGTGTTAACACAACTCCTTTTGGAAGACCAGTAGATCCACTTGAGCTCAGTATAAAAGCTGGATGATCTTTGGTTTTCTTTTTACCAGCTTTATGTTCCTCTTCTGAATCCTGAGTAACAACAAGTGCATTTCCAATGCAAATATTCCTTTGTTTTTTCTTTTGCATGCATGCAATTGGTGTACCATCTAAAATCTCTTCCAAGGATATTGTGTGCTCTGGTAGTGATTTGCCCTTGGAATCCCAAACTAGCACTTGTTTCACGTTGCTTGACTTCAAGTATTGCTCCAGTTTCGTCTCACATACGGACATTGAGCACATTACCAACTTAGGCCTTGAGATTGACAAGGCATGTTCCCATTCTCCTAGAAAGGCATAATTCAAGTAAACAAGACTAGTTTTATATTCAGGAGGCATGTTCAGCTTGAGATTTGAGTTTCACATTGTGGTGAAGATGTCGATGGTGGTCCTCTGGGTTGTGATACTATGTTAATGTGTAGGTGGAAACCGCAGTTTTGGAGAAAAATATTGCCTCGATCTTCAGGGCAGTTCCTCGGAAACATCGGTACTCGTCTATAAGTCCATACCGCATAACAACACAGAGGACCACCATTGATTCATGTTCCTGTTTCCATTAAATTTTTATCACATATTACAAATGTTAATTGTTAAAGAAGGCGATGTGTACGGTCATTACTGGGCTTTAAAGTGTTAAAACATGCCTTTTAATAATATCATAATAGCATCATTGCCACCATATTTACATTAGGGAAAGTGTGGTATATAATATACTTTTCTTTGGTTATATTTCATGGTGGTAGTAATGACAGAAGAAATAAAATGTCCTGATTCAACATTTGCATCTCATGTAACAACTAACAGGCACATGAAACTTAAACCTACTTGCTGTGTACGTTGGACTGAGCAGTGCACAGCTTGCTCCAGTCCAGAGAACTCCCAGGACAATCCAGCAGTAGTCAAGATTGTTCTCACTACAAATAGCTACCACATCTCCATATGCTACCCCTTGAGCTGCCAACTTTACCCCCAGTTCCTTGCTCTTGTCAAGGATCTCTGCAAATGTAATTTCTCTTTTAGTTTCTGCATCCACCTGAAGAGAAAAAGTAATTGTTACTTCCTCAGGTCAGATGAAATGATGCAAAATACAAGAGAGATAAAACGTACCACGTAGGACAGGGTATATAAATTCTGAAACAGACTTACTCTATTACTGGTTTAATTATAAGTTTAAGTTGAGATTTGCCATATGAAGACTTTAATAAAGAAGGGCTTTGCCCACGTATCTGGCCTGCAAACTGCAGCAGATCCAAGAAATATGGACTTAAGACAAAGGAATGTACAGAAAGGAAAATGAATGTTTGGTGATATTTTGAGAAGAGTGTAGGGATGGCTGTACAGCTTTTGTTACATAATATGTCAAAAACTATTAAATATGATTGTGAAACAAACATTCTACACTTTCAGATTGAGATACATTAAAGATCTATGTACAGCTCATTTCTTATAACAGTAGGCAGTGTAACTGCTAGCAAACGTGCTTCATTTTGTATCTGATTTATTTTTCCCCAAGAATAATTGGCAAGTTTTTAATTTTAGGTTAATAGAAATACAAGTCAAAGTTATAAATACTCGCATAATATTGAAGGAACATTGCATGACTGGTTTGGTTATGTGGCTTTTGTCATTCCTGGGGTGAGACTTTTAATGAGAGTTTCAGTGGTTTCTTTGTGGTCAAAACCAAGAAGTAAAATAATGCAAGACCAGGACCCATTTTGTTTTGATGGGAAAGAGACAATAAATATTGCTGCTCTTGCACAGAAAAGTCGTGTTGTTACTGTGTTTGAGACAGTTGACATCAAATAAATTTTTCATCTGATACATTCAATTTCATTCCTTGCATAATTAAAACGCACCCATGTTTGTCTTCATAGTGCTGCCATCCAGTGTGGAGAGTTTGGAGTTGTATGTGAGTGTCACATGTTTGTCATGCTGCTCCAAGTATCGTGTTTTGAACGTGATTTAGGCACTTAACAGTGACGTTTCTCGATTTTAAGCTGATACAAAATACAAAAGAGTGTTTTATAAATATAGTGTTGAGTATTTTGATCTGTGTATCGGTAATAGGTACAATATTTATTTACGTACAAAATCTAACCCTCATAATGGTGGCTGAAATTGTCGTTAACTTATCGAGGAATATGCAGGATACAGTGAAACGAAATGGGAAATATCGATTCTCAAGAAATATTCTATACATAGTCTTTAAAAGGAAAGCGGGAAAGAGGAAGACCTATAAAAATATGAAGAGACCGGACCGCTGTTGGAATCGGAAAAGGCTACTGTAAGTATAATCCTCTTAATTTCTTTTATTAAATGCTTTCAGACAATCACTATTTGCTTTCCAAAATATGTAGAGGCGACATTTTTTATACGCTGGGGTTTCGCTCTTGTGTTTATCGAAAATGCGTAAAATGGGAAACGTGTAACATGCCTGTTGATTTTATGAATAATATACCATGAGAAGCCTTAATTTGCGTATAACGAGCGTCGCCTGTGTAGATTTTGTAAAAGTAGACGTTTTCCTGTAGTCTTATTTATATTTTACTTATATAATTAATTTCATGTAAAGTTTGTCCCACTGTACGCCATGTAAGCGGTGGGGGGAGTGGAGGTATAGCTCCTCTCTTCCTTAACCTCGGCACTAGATGGGGGTGAGTGATCAGCATCACGCCCCGGCCGGCTTTACCCCCGGGAAAGGACCCCGGTACCCATTGTAGAGGAGGCTGGGTGGGCCCCAGAGCCGGTCTGGACGCAGAGGCTAGAGGAAAAATCCTCCACTCACCCCAAACGCCTACATGGCGTATAGTGGGACAAACTTTACTTTAACTTTACTTTTTAATTAATTTCTTATCATTGTGAATCTCTTTCTTCTTCATCTTGCTGTGTTGTTATTTTGCTATATTCTTTGTAATATTAGGTTCTGTTTTACTTAGTTTGGGTGGTTATTGTACTTTCTATTATATATTTAATTCACTACTTTCTACGCGTCCGTCCGCAACTTTCACTCGAGAAGCGCTGGTCGGACGTTGGTAAAAGTAGATAACCAGAATATGAATATTATTATAAAGGGCTTTCCAGTAAATCGTAAATTATTTCGAGTCTGATATTGAATAAGCAGCATTTATAAATGAAACTAAAATGTATCAGATAGGCCTATTTAAAAATGCTCAAAACTTGTTTTGATGTTAGTATGAATAATTCAACTGATTAAAAATGAATGAACTTTTTCCGTGTTTTTCCTAGTCGCCGTCCAAATTAAGTTACAGAATTTATACAAAACATAACATTTAATTAAACTCACCTGGGCAACTTTAGAACTGAAGTTCTTCACTTTGCTTTCTACATATTGCCATATCGGAACATGTGACAGTAGTTCAATTGGGCGTCCTTTTAAAACAGCGGCAAATGACATGTTCTTCCCTGCAAATAAGTTGTAAATAATAAACTTCTGTCAAATTATGTTGTACATAAGAAACCCTTTTCAAATAAACCTAAGCCAAAACACTACATTTCAACCATGCATTAAATGTCTTATCCGAGGAAAAGCAAATTCAACGAAAAGTTGCTGTTAAAATTTAATGAACTGATTCGCGAGTTCTGTATCCTTCAGTTTTTTTAAATATTTCATTGTGTCTATTTTGTGGATGGACATATTCCTTGTCTCCGTTATTTTTACAAAATGTCAATTTTTTCTTATATCTCGAATGCCAAAATACTCAACAGAACTGAATTAAATTTTATATTGACAACATATAACATTACAAATAATTAAACTCTGATGATGATCTTCTGGGTTCTTGCGCCGTGTAGACTAGCCAGTAAATTCCAACGTTTCGGAGAAACGTGCTGTCTCCATCTTCAAGGCCAAATATACAATTAGCCAAAACCCAGAAGAACATCATCATCGCTGTGAAAATTCAAACCTAAATTCAATTTTGGCTCTTGTCTGTGTATTTCTGATTGTAGGCTTACAACAAAAATATGGAAGATAATCGACATATTCCATGCGAATTATCTGTCTTTTGATTAATGTAAGTTAATTCGTTGATACAAAACACAGGCATTAGTTTAATCAGTTGAATGAGCGAAATAATTTTAGTTCTTCCTAGTGTGCGTCATAAAATATTTCTTATTATATATCTTGAATGATAGTCAAGTTAGCATTTAACCACACGGAGCGGAGAAACTGATTATCGTTAAGCTGTCTGGAAATTATCTGCATTTGATGGGACCCTTAGAACCTGCTACTGAATCCTATCCGGGGGCAATCCAATCTAGTCCACACACTCAGAAGCCTCTCTTAAATATTATTATCACATGCGCGTAGGCCACTCACTTTGATATTTAATTAAAAATTCAATTAAATATTGTAGATAGCTGTGAAGAATAATCATAATACCCTTATAAAATGACGTATTAAAATTATAGTTCTAAATTTGCTCTGTTTAATGATTCGTAAGATAGTTTTGACGTCACTGAAATAACAACCTGCTCCCTTTCCCGAATTTTAATTACGTCAATTCCGTCGATATGATTGCATAAAATCGGTTTGAACTCGTAGCGAGTTAAGGAATAATTCCTTTCATGAACTGAACCCCAGACCTCCTTAATACCGATGACAATCATTAGATCCGAGTGGTTGATCCGACTGATCCAATTAGTGAAATAATAGTTGACAATTTGAGAATAAAATAAAATTTCTTGACCGACTTACCAAAAACAACCGAAGGCAAACTTTTCTCCCCGTCTGCTCACAGAACTGAATTAGATAGGTTTTGGTATTCACAAGCAGCCGCTGAGACACGGAATCAGCCAATCAAATTTCCTGCTAACGCAGGCAGAAAGGTTTGAACCGGATGCGAAAAAAATGCATGGTGTATTCTCAGCCCATCCGTTCCAAGGATCATATTTAGATTAAAATTATTCAGTACAGTGTAAATTATGCAAACTTCTATTTCCAGCTTCAGTTACATGAAACTCGATACAGAAAGCAAATACAGCAATAGTGTCCATGCATCGCTTCCTTTCGGCGGGTTCTTGATGGGAAGAAAGGTTACTTAATCCCCTACAGCCTGTCCATCAGAGATCTGTTTCTTCATTTCATACTGTGTATCATCAGGGCGCTGTTGGACTTGATAATGAATTTGGAATTTTATCAAGGGCGCTAATTTATTTTAGAGGAGTTGCAAGCTCATTACGAGCGATACTTCAACCCGTGAGGATAATACGTATTTAATTTGAAATTAAAGGTCTCCGGATGTTGTAATTTAAATATAACGAAGTCGAATCATAATCGCCGACGTGAAAAATTGAATTCTCATTTTACAACTTTTTCAGCTCCCTTGCTACTTTCGCTTTCTACGTTCAAATATGTGTTTCCCTTAGGACGGCAGAATTATCCCACGATTACATCTGCACGTATTTTAAAACCTGTGTTTTGTAGCACCAGAGTCAATACTGACGCAACATTGAAGTGGCATTAATAGAACATGATCTTTTCAGTTTTGAATTTCCATATTATTGGAATTGTTCACCCCTGGTAAGATGTTACTCAGAAAGCATTCAGTAATATTTGATGTTGGGGCGTACATCAGCACTTGTCTGCCTGAATATTTCACATTGGACAGGCACGCCTTGAAAACTGTCCCAGGAAGTGAAGGAGTTGACACCTCAAGCGTTTCGTAACTTGAGTAACGTAAACATTGAAGAAGGGGTGTTGCTTACTTCATACTTTACAAAACAATAACTGCGCTTGTGAATAGCCTTTGTCGTAACATGTTTGTGGCTGAGATACAGGGGTCGCAAATTCGGTAGTCTTCAAGGTCTTCAGTCTGAGTCTAGTCGGATTGGTGGATGAGAGGTGAGACTCCAACCAAGGACCGAGGACTAATAAAGTGTTAGCTGGCCTGATACACTGTGTACAGACCCCTTTGAAGCCGAAACTCGTCTAAATATTTAAGAATTTTGTCCGTACCGCAAAGAAAACATTTCACCATTACCCATGAATACACATACACAGTGAAGAATTGTTGATTGGTTTAGGCAATTCTTGCACTGTCGATGCCCGAGGCACAACAGCGAACACCGGTCTTGCAAGTTGCCTACCCCCGTAGGAATAACGCGATAGACAGACAAGGACTGGTCCATAAGGCTTTCAGCGCTCACGCTAGAGCGCGGAGATACAGAAACTTTTAGTCAGAGAAGTCTGTCACCGCAGAATTCGCCATTACACTGCGAAGTTTGGTGTCACCCCTAGTAATTATCATATTCTAACTTGTAATTAGCATAGCCGGGATATTGTCATTTAAATAGTTCGTTGAATCGTCATGGGGACAAATGAAAGAGCGTGTGATGTTGCAAATTGCGTAACAAGTAACTTTGCTGTCGCCTGATTCGACAAGCGAATCATAAGATTTGTGGCGGACACTAGCAACTTGTCTGTGTGTGTGATTCATACAGACAACTTTAGGTTAACGATGTTTTGTACCTATAAAAAACAGAAAAGTTAATGAAACCAATTCCAAGAAAACTTACGAATGATTGGAATTAAGTGATTCACCAGTTTCTGGTCTTTGCTGGCGATGTTAGTTTATTGGTTAGTCATTAGTTAAAAACAAAAGTATTGATTCTTGTCAAAATAATGCAGAACATTTTAGTACGAAGACAAAAAAAATTTAAAGTGTAAAAGGAGGTTTATATACTAGGGA